CCCTCTTCCTACTCTGCATTCTACCCTTTCTCTTTGGAAGTTCAAAGTTAGGGGACAAGACTAATTCAGAGTTTCCTGCCCTAGTATGTAATGGGTCTAAGGGCTACAGAAGCAGGAAAGATTTCCTGCTTGGGTTTCACTCGGGTTTCCCAGGAAAGGGGGTTTCCTGGCCCGGTGAGTAATTTCTGAAGGATAAAGGTGGGGACTTCCCTGGTGGTCCAGTGGCTAAGGTTATGCTCCTAATGCAGGGAGCTCAGGTTAGATCTCTGCTCAGATCCCACATGCTACAACTAAGAGTTTACATGCAGTAACTAAGACCTGACACAGCCAAATAAATAAATATTAAAAAAGAAAAAACAGTGAAGGTGGACAGGGGTTGAGGGCACTGCTGATAAATGGTGTCTGTGCTGTGAGCTGGGCGCCAGCCACTGAAAATTGTAGGGGTCTGATACTCTGAGCCAACAGTGGGTGCTGCCAGCTACTCGGGATGTGCCTGAATCAGTCCTTTCAAGACACCCAGACGCCCTCTAGAGGATTCTTGAAGAATCTCACTGCCTCCATCCTGGATACAGGGACTCTGAGGCCAGCTCTTCTCTGCATTCTCTTTCCTTCTAGCTCCTGTCCAGACCCTTCCAATTTCTTCTTCCACTTACAGCCTCTGCCATAGTCCAGCCCACCCATCATTCTGAGAGGCCTCTCCTGTTAGGAACCAGCAAGGCCCAGCATCCCCAGCATCCTGACTTCATGGGGCATAGTGCCAACAGTCTGGATTTACCATAGGGAAGCACTCCTCCAAATACATTAGGTCCTGGAAGCATCTTCCAGCAACCTGAAGATTTTGTACTACATGATGACATATGTTCATGAGACATGGATAGTCTCATTAACTCCAACTTTCACCGCCAAGATTCTCTCAGCCCCCAGGGCCACCCTGCCCAGAGCCCCATGCCGAGCTGACCCTGTTGTAGTGGGGATCTTGAGAGCTCTCAGTCACCCCTCTCTACATGGGCTCTTAGGGGGCAGGTGAGGGGAGGATGGCAAGAAGCAGGGTGGATCAGTCCCTGAATTTTTAGGTCAGTTGGCCAGGTGAAAAGTCTGAACGAGGAAGAGGTAAGCAAGACTCAGCTCAAGCCAGCCTGTGAGGGGCCCTGTGAAGTCCCTCCGCCCTCCCTGACCACCTAAGGGGCACAGAGACAGGCCCCAGTGGGGACAGTGCTAAGCCCCATCTCCTCCTCTGCCCATGCTGGAACCAGAGGGTCTCTGAAGGGGAAAGTCAGTAGTTCAGCAGGTCCTTTCCAGGAAGGGAGCATCATTAAACTAATGACCAGCCACATGGGGCCCCCTGAACTTTCCTTAAAAAGGATCCCCGGAAATGTGACCTAGGGTCTTTAAGGTGCTTATGGAGAACGGGACTAGAATAAGAGCGCTGAGGATAGGAGAGCCGTGTACCCTTTTGGGGACAGACCGAAACCAGCGGACTTGGAGTGAGGCACCAGGACCTTTGCATCCTAAGTGGGGGTCGGTCAGACCCTGAGGGCATCCCCACCACCGCCCGATGTGGCGCTCCTTCTCCCAGCAGTGGAGCGGGTGGGAGAGCCCCTTTCATGGCCACATGGGCTGCATGGTGTTGGGGAGCGAGGAGTGGGGGGCCTCCAGCTTGGGGGGGGTCAGATCCGTACCCTGTCCTCCAGAAAGGAAGGTGAAGTGCCCCCTGAGAGCTACAGATCAGCACATGACTCCACCCACACACCTGCACTAGGAGATGACCAAACCCAGGCCCTGCATCCCTAGGGTGACCCCAGTCCCCCTCAGGATGCCTGTCTGAGAAAGCTCAACGCTGCCAGCAGAATTCACTGCTTGTTCTAGCCAACACCTGACCCAGGCCCCTGACCTCCCTTTCTTAGAGCATTTACTAAACAGGGCTTGTCATTGATTCCTTCCTCTGTCCCTCCTCCAACAAGAGTGTTTTTCACCAGAACCTGAACACCACTTCTTGAAGTCACTCATCAGGAAGGATGGAGGCCGTGTCTCCTGGTCTCGCTCAGAGGACAGAATCCTGAGATAATTGCCGCTTGTGGGCACCATGGCCTCATCGCGCTGACACTCCTAACACTGTAGTTTTCTCTTCTCTGAAGCTGCTTGAGACCCCACTGCCCTTCCCCACTCCTTCCTGCTTCCCTTAGCCGCCCAGGGTCCTCTGCACAGATCAGAACGGAGCTCAGCTCTTTCCCCTCCTGTTGGTAGTCAGAGAGGAAAATCTGTTTTCACCACTTTAAAGTTCGACTATGTTTACCTTTGACACTGGCTCCTGGCCTAACCCTGGTTCAGCGCTCCCGCCCCTCTGCGGTTCACTACAAACACACACCCACACACACCAAAACACCCTTTATTCAGAAGATCCAGGGAATGGGGTGTGGGGGCAAGTTTTAAGTGTTTCTGGACTTTTTTTGCCCCTTGCTACCTGGGTATCCCCAACAGCAACTCAGTCGTTACGTTGTTTTTTTTTTTTTTAAGATTAAACCACTGATTTGCAATTTTTATTAACAAATTTCATCTATAAAAACCAAGATAATTGATAACTTGATTTCAACTCAAGTTTTGACAACAGTTGAAGTTTTACATTTAAAAAAACTGCAAAATGTCAACTAAAAAAAAACAGACAAAATGCTGGGACGTGAGTTTGTACTTAAATTCTACCAACTTCGACAAATAGAGAATGGGTGCATATCAGTTCACATCAGTCCTCTGGTCTGAAACACACTTTCCACTGGACATGTCTTATTCACTCTTCTGGATGGGTACGCGGGTGACTTCTTCAGTCGTTAAGTTTTAAAAGACAACTTTAATCTCCCTAGGTGGAGCGATTTGGGGTTGGAGGGTCCACGGCAAGTAAGCTGAAGACTAGCAGCTCTTGCCTGCCTCCCTCACCCTCTGCCACCATCCCTGGGCCCTGGTTTTCCTCTGCTGTTCAAGCTCTGATCTTTGCTCATCCAGGGAAACAGGCCCCTGGCTTTACAAACTGGTGTGTCCCACCTTGCCTCTTTCCCAAGCTGAGTCAAAATATGGGCGGTTGAGCCCACATGCTCCCCTCTGCCCGGGACTGCCGTATCCTCTGAACAAAGCCTGGGGTCTGGGCTGGGCTGCCCTGAAGCCCACAGGGAGCAGTCCTCCTCTGCATCCATCCTCAGACTAGACTGAAAGGGCTGGAGAAGGGGGCCTGGCCTTCCTTCCTCAGAGCAGACTCGAGCACCCTCCATGCCTGTCTTCGTGGTGCCTGGGAGGTGGCCACCACCCTCTGTACCCACAGTTGCTTCCTCCCCTTCACACAGTCCACAGAGCGCAGCCTGCAGTCAGAAATCCGGGCTCCCCTCAGCCCGGCCTGAGCGCCCCCATCAGCAGCCGCGCACCAGGCCCTGGCTGGGTGGGGAGGGCTTCTGAGAGACAAGGGTCCTCCAGCAGGAATGCCACGGCAGGAGCAAAACTGGCCTGAGCACCTTCCCTCCCGCTGTTGAGCTGGCACCGGGGAGGAGAGAGGATACTGGTCTCCATGGCAAAAGCCACAGATGACCTGGTTCCTGTGGGCAGAGGAGTTGCGGCTAGTCTCCTGTCTCCATTAGAAAAGTACCTTTGGAATTCGGTCTATTTGAAACTCTAGTTCTTAAAACACGTGGGAGTTGAACATAGGCTGGACGGTCAGGCTGTGTGTGACTCTGGGTAGAGAGGGTTGGGGAGGAAGAGACACATCTTGTTTTAAAAAGATCCTGAATGTGTGCAGGCTTCGGCTTTTTCTGGAATGGGTTAAGGTTATTTCTGGTGCATGGTGTCAGGACAAACGTGTTCCTTTTAGCACCTTCTGTAAATAAACTGTGGAAATGTGGACCACACCCCCCAGGGGGTGGCGGTGGGTGGGGTGGGGGCGAGGCTGGAGGCGAGGGAAGAAGAAAGAGACTAAGATTGGAAGGGCTGTTTTAGCTCAGGGGACCCCTCTGTTCTTCCCACTCCCCTGAGAAAGCATGACCTCCCCTCGGGACACCCCTCACACCAGAGCAGAGCATGTGGGGGCAGTGGGGTGGGCTGAGGGGCTAGGAAACCACCAATGAAATCAGGAGCCTGGACATATGTTCTCCTCTAAGACACAAAGGAAGCCAAATGAGGGAATGGAGTCTCCGAACAGAAAGGTGAAGCACTTGGTCAAGGTCAGAACAACTCTGGAGTGACAGGGCTGGGGTTTGAACTTGGGAGGTGGCGGGGGATGGGGTGGAGAAATGCAGCTTGCCCTGTTCTCCCATCCCTTCCAGTCCCTCCCCTCCCCGCGTCCTTTCCTTGAAAACTCACTGAGGGAGTGAGAGGGTGAGCACAGACCTGACCAAGGGTGCTGGGGGTGGGGGACAGGGACCACACAGGTTTCTGCCTGGTTGAAGAGTCTAGGTTTTCCCTGAGGCACTCAGAAGCAATGGATGTATTTGAAATTTATTTCTCTTTAAAAATATCGGCCCGAAAGCCAGCAGTAAAATGGAAGTGACTGGAGGCTCTGAAAGTGAAAGTGAAATCGCTCAGTCATGTCTGACTCTTTGTGACCTCATGGACTGTAGCCTACCAGGCTCCTCAGGACATGGGATTTTCCAGGCAAGAATACTTGGAGGATACTGCTATAGTCCAGGTGAAAGTCGATGAGGGCCCAGTCTAAGCTGGCTATCACTGGGGAAGGGGCCAGAGCTGAGAGCCACTGAGGCACAATCGAGGTAAGGATTAGGGAGAGAGATGACACTGGGCCTTTAGCCCAGGTGAGTGGGGAGCTATGGACTTCCACTGAACTTGAGCCTGCCTGCCTACTGCCTACTAGGTGGAGCCTGACTCTTTGTGACCCCATGGACTATAGCTCCAGGCTCCTCCGTCCATGGAATTCTCTGGGCAAGAATACTGGAGTGGGTTGCCATTTCCTTCTCCAGGGGATCTTCCCAACCAAGGGATTGAGTCTCTTGTGCCTCCTGCATTAGCAGGCATGTTTTTTTTACTAGCTGAGCCTTGAGGAAAGCCTGAGCTTGAGCACACGTGTTTTTAAAGGAATGGTCACAGGCCAAAGTTTGAGACAGTCTTTATTGGAGCTTGGAATGTCATAGCAATTCACCTTTATCAGAGGCAGACTGGTAAGATGAGCAGCAACGGCAGCAGACACCCCCTCCCCCCGCTGGTGGGGGGACGTCCGGCCTACATGAGGAATCCTGCTCGCCCGCAAGCAGTACACAGGCACACACGTGCACGCACACACACACTTCTACACAGACACTCACACATGTTCACTCACTCCCGGTGGGTCAGAGGCCAAGTACCCTTCCTGCCCCGCCTGCTCTGGGGGGATCCGCTGAGCTGAGACTGAAGGAAACCACTGAGGACCAGGTATGAAGGAGCTGGCGGCTGCAGGCGTTTTGTGGTTTGGGAGAAGGGGATCTGGGAGGATGGGAGAGACTGCCAGGGCCAAGCAAAGGGAGCCCCCCTGGGCCAGGGCATGGAGAGAAAATGCTGGAGATGGGGCGTGGGAGGGACGGGGGTGGGAAAAGGCCATCCCCTCTCCTTCACTCACTCCAGCCTCACAGCCTCACAGCTGGGGCCGGAGTCCTGGGCCAAGGAAGCCTGGGGAGCATCAAGGGGTCCCCTGTGTCCTAGGAAGGCACTGAAATGGGGAAGATCTTGGAGGGCCTGGAGACTCCCCCAGGTGCCCCAGGGAGGGAAGGAAGGGGGATGACAGAGCAAGGAGGGTCTTACATGCCGGTTGTCTGGGGGCAACAAGACTGGGGAAGCACGAATCCTGCTTCCCACCCCAAACAAGAGGTGGGTGATGGGCTGAGATGAAGCCCCTCTGGCCGGCAGAGGGGAGAGGGCCAGAGCCAGGGCTGCCCCTTCGGTCTCCAGGGCAGCCAAGTGGGACAGGCTGGCCTCGTCCGTGTGTCCATGGGGGCAGGAGGGAGGACCGAGGCCTCCTGCCCCCGGGGCCTGGGCTACCAGAGCACGGCCCCGTCCAGGTTCCCGTAGCCCGGCTCAGCCCGCAGCCGCCAGTACGTGTTGTTCGTCACCCACCACTCCTTCCCGCTGCTGTCCGTCTGCCGCCTGGGGGAGAGGAGCCGGGGAAGGAGGGGGTGAACGTCCAGCACTGAGGCTGCTCCCGAGATGCTGCCCCACACTGCGGGCCCCACTCAAAGCAGCAAGGGACTAGTGGGCAGGGGGTGGCCCTGAGTTCAGAGGAAGGTGGAGCAACAAGGGTGTGGTGGTACAGGGGGCACGGAGGCACCTGAAGAAGCGGGCCTGGTGGACAATGTTGTTCTCCTCCATCACTTTGCGCCTGTCTCGCTGAAGCTGCTCGATCCTTCTCTTCTGGGCCTCGGCTGCCTGTATGTTCCCCTCCTCCAGGTACCTGGGCACCCAGACTGCTGTCAGTGGAACTGCCCCACCCTCAGGGGCCCCCAAATCCAAGGCTTCTGTCCCTGCCCAGTTCTGCCCCCAGACAGGTCCCATCTCCCTGAGGCAACACCAAGAAGCAAAGATACAGTCCTGGGTCTATGCAGAAACCCCCATCGAAGGGAGAAGCCCAGTGCTTCCAGAGTAGCTCCCGCCTGGCACTGACCTCTGGTCTGGCCGGAGCCGTGTGTCCGTGGAAGGCAGGGACCGTTTCAGCTCTGTGGTCAGCTCATTCAGCTCCAAGGCAAACTGAGTGAAGCCGAAGTTTCGCTCATAGTTTGGGGGCATTGAGTCTAGGGGGAAGGCAGGGGGCTGGGGCAGGTGGACTGTGCGCAGCTGCCCTCACCCCTGCCCAGCCCGCCCCGAGCACCCCACTTACTGGGCTTCCAGATGCACTGACCACCCGGCGGGGGTCCGCGGTACAGCCCCTCATGCCACTTTCCAAAGAGTCGGTGGAGGACACGGCCACTCCGGCTGAACACGGCTCCCTGTACCTCGTGGATGTTGGAGCTCCAGTATTTGGCCTGTGGTGGGGGTGGGGCAGGGGGCTTAGGAAGAGGTCCCCTAACCTCCGTGGAGGGGCTGCTGGGGTGGAGAGTGCGGGCAGGGGGCCGCCCACCTTGCAGAAGGTGAGCTTGCAGTGGCAGGAGCTGTCCTGTGTGTTCCGGATGAGTACCTCCCCGTAGTGCTCGATCCAGCGCTGGCCACTGAGGATGTTGTGAATGCAGGACGTCACCTTATTCCACTCAAAGTGGTCCCCAAACCTGTGAGAGAGAGAACAGGGCAGGTGAGGGGCAGCTGGCTGGCCCTGGGGAACAGTGCTACCCTGACCTGGGGAATGTCTCTCTCATTGGAGCAGGTCACATAGGTCTGGGGAAGGAACCCCGGTGTCCTGGTTCCAGCTCGTGGCCCTTCCATGAAGGGTGACATATTTATTAAGTAGAGCAGCCTTCCCAGAGAGTACTCAACTAACACATCTCCATTTGCTGAGAAAGCTCCTACGTGCCTAAGTCATGGGAGTGAAAACATAAACAGGGTCCCTACTCTTGGATGCCGGGGACCGTGGTGGGCTGATCACATACAACAGCCTGTTTACTACCCACTTCTGCTGGCTCTTACTTATTACTCTTATTTTCTAGACGAGCAGACTCAAGTATTTTTGCTGTTGCATAACTGTTTAGTGGCAGAACTAAGACTCCCACCCAGGACTCTTGACCCTGAAGCCCAGGGTCTCCTGCACCTTTCGTACTGGCCTCTGGTTGCAGTTCCCCACCTGTAACATGAGCTAGATGAGGGTGCTTCAATATGGTTTGTGACTCATCCTAAAACTACTTTAGGTTTCTGTGTGTGTGTGTGTATGTTACAGTGCACTCACCTCAAGTCTCAGATGCATTGCTTACTGTGAGGCATGGTCAAAAACTGTGAAAGCCTCTTGGTCAGATGGCCTTGATGAGCCCTTGCAGCTCTAAGACTTTCCCCTTTCTTTACTGACAACTGCTGTAAACATGGGTGTAAAGTGCACAGACACTGCCCCACCCCGAGCAGCTTCAGGAGGCCTCCCCATCCCAGCCTGGAGGATGGCCTGTGGGCTGGGCCCGGCTGCCCAGCATTTAGGAACACTCACCTGGGCAGGCTCACGTTGACTGTCCCAACAGGCACAATCTCCAGGGATTTGCCCCAGAACTTGTTCTTCCACTTCATGTCTGGAGTTGGGTTGGGGGAGGAAGAGCAACAGCAGAGGTAAGACCAGAGGGTGTTCCAGGCCCCTTCCCATCTGCCCTTCACTCCCAGCTCAAACCTTCACCTTGCCAGAAGATGAAGTTTTCAGACTCCGCATGACATGCTGAGATGGGGGGGTGGTGGGAGACCTTGAGGAGCAAAGAAGTTCTCTGGAGGCTGCTTCTGACCCTAGGCCCCCAACACCCCTCACTTTCACCCCCAGTTCCCCTGTGAACCAGAAGACCAGCTAGTTCCAGGTCTCTTGTCCCTGTCATCCTTGGCCACCACCCAAATTCCATCATCCTCTCCTCTCCCACAAGCCCCAACTTTCTCCCTTCTCGCTCACTTCCCTCCAGGGCTCTCCTTGCCTCTCCCCATCCCCTGGTGCCCACCAATGCCTGAGTGTTCTCTACAAAGTGCAATTCTAAGAATGTCACTCTACTGCTTAAAACCCTCCCATGACTCCCTGTGGCCTTCAGGATTTAAAAACCAACAAATCAACCAATCAACTGTTCCTTATCTTCACCCACAGGGCTTCTCAAGGTTTGGTCCTGCCTTGTCTTCCAGCCTTGTCTTGAACTCTTCCCAAACCCTCCCATCCATCCCTTCACACTGCCTGGAACAGCCTGGTCTCCCAACTCCTTGCACACTTGGCCAACTCCAATCCATCCTTCAAGACTGAGCTCAAGATCATTCACTAGAGCTGAATAGCCTTCTGTGAGCTTCCTCGACCCAGAACACGATGCAAGTGTTTCAAGTCTATCTCCTCAAGGAGTGGGGACCTCCTTCCTGACTACCCGTCTGCGGGGTGTTCTCACCCCTGCCCTGGCCCCTTGAAGCCTGGATCCTCCCTGGCCTCATCCACACGGCTCCCCTGCCAGCCCTCTTCTTCCTGGCCTGCACCTGCTCACTGATGAAGCGGAAGCCTCGGTCAGGGCGCTCACACTCATAGGTCTCCCCCAAGACAGGGTTGAAGGGCTTGCAGCCCGCCCGGTGGTACGTGGAGGAGTAGGCAGACACCGCGAAGGCTGCGATGTACACCTGCAGGGGGCGGGGCGCCAGGGGATCAGAGGAGATGCTACAGGGGCAGGTGGCTGGGGGCTAATTCTTGATGAGCTCCCGGGGATTCAGGTGGTCACAGGGCTAAGAACCAGAGGACGCTTCCCACTGCTGGAAATGGAAACCCTGCACCCCAGAACCCCTTCCTGAGTCCCATCCTTGGTTTCTACTCCCTTTCATAAACACAGAAAGCAAGGTCAGGATGTAGATTATCCAGCCCATTGTATAAACAAGGAAACAGGCTCCAAGGAGTAAAATGACACTACAAAGCCATGCTGCTATAATAAAAGATGGCAAAGTGGGCTCTTCTGGCTCACTGAGGCCCACATGAGCCTTCTCAGAAGCCCAGTGTGGAGGCCGGCCCCAAGCTGAGCCAGCCCCACCCCCCAGAGCCACCACTGGAGCCCAGCTCATAGCTGAGCCTTCCTCACTTCCAAAGTCACCCTGGAGTCAGCGTCCAAAGCCATCAGTCCACCAGTCCTACAAGGGACGACTTCCCAAGGGGCCTGGGCCTGGACACACTCCGTTTCTGGGCCCACCTCCAGCCCTCCCTCCTGCTCGCCGGGTGGGCACCTTTCTGACAGCGCTCGGCTCCCCGGAGGTCCAGCACCTCCTCAGACAGGCTGGTGGTGACTTCACTGGTGCACGATTCCTCCTCCTCCGAGCCCTGGGCCGGGACAGATGACAGGCCGGGCAGACTAGGCCTCCCCGGGCAGCTGGGCAGTACCCAGGGCCTGGCGAGAGAATCTGCCCAGCTAGCCCTTTGGTGGGAAGGGGAAGAGAACATATTTGGGGGGTCTGAACCCTAAGACACTGCCCCAGGAGGCCTGGTGTCATGGTGTACCCTGCCACCTTGAGAGGGAGAGGGCCCCCAGCTCAGGGACATGGTGGACATGAAGGGAGGGAAGTAAGGGATTCCTGGGATCCAGGGTTGGGAAGGCAAGGGTCAAGAGAATGCAGAGGCTGAAATGGGGTCACAGAAAGATGGCTGGGGGTGGAGCTGAGGCAGCAGTTTCAGGAGAACCCATGAAGAAAGAGCACATCAAGCTGGAAGAAGGGTCCTCAGCAGAGATTTCTAAGCAGGGCCACACAAACCCATCAGGTCTGGCCATGTTCCCAGAGACAGCGGCTGAGCTGATTAGAAAGCACTTGGGAATCTACTGATTCTAGTCTCCCGGGACCCCAGCCCTCTATTCCCAGGGTCCCTCCCCTCTCACAGGCAACTTCCCCCTTCCCTCACCTCATTCTCAGAAGAGCTGGCAGAGAGGAGAACCTCACAGGCATCAAAGAACTCTGTGTGGGAGTCAGCAAGGGATAGGACGCTGCTCTGGGACAGCTGGGGGGTCAGCTCTCGCCCCTTCATGTACAGAGCTTCTTGCTGTGGGAGCAAGACTGGTGTCAGCCTGAGGCCCAGCCGGGAGAGTTGGGCCAGGCTCCCCTGGCCTGATAGTTCCCTCGAGAGGAAGTATGACTGGGGACTTTTACTGTCTGAGTCGTGCAGAGCTGGAGGAGATGTAGAGGGGAGTGAGCCTCATATGGTACGAGGCCTAGGGAAAGATCCTGGCCTGGGAGTGAGGAGACATGGGTTCCATAATAACTGCCTGCATTTCCCAGCACTGACTCTGAGCCCAGCTCCACACCCTTGGCATGTATCAACTCCATCCCGACACTCACTCTGCAAGGTAGGTACCATTATCACCCCCACTCTGTAGATTAGGAGACTCAGGTTCACGAGGCCAGCATGCAGTACAGTCAAATTCAAACCCATATAGCACAGGAGCCTGGGCCCATCATTAGATCCTTTGAGGCTCAGTTTCCTTATCTGTGAACTTGAGGGTAAGAATCAGCTTCCTCACGAGATCCTGACTTAAAAGCGCTCTATACACTATTAAGAAATGATCCGGATATGGCTGCTGCCTGTGTTCTGTGAAAGGGGCTGGAGTTTCAGTTCTGAAAGCGAACCCTGCCTTCACTCCTGCTGAGAAAGGAGGGCCCCACCGCCCAGCCAGCTCCTACCTCCTCGGGATTGAGGGAGCTGAAGGAATCTGCAGTGGTGTCAGAGGAGACGGACAGTGAATGGAGGCGCCTCGGGCCGGCCGAGGTCTCAGAGACCTGCAGGGAGAGAGTGAGGGTGCAGGTACAGGATGGGGATGGGGGAAGCACCCCCAACACACACACCAAAGGCCTGTCAGGCAGGGCCTGCGTCAACCAACCCCCTTCCCGGCCCAGGCCTGCGACCACCCCAGGCCTGCCCAGGCCGGCCATCTTCAGGCCACTCCTCCCACCGATCACCCGGTCCCTGGCTCACCCCCAGCCTGGATGGCTCCGAACCCTGGTGCAGGCCCCTCAGTCGGTCCCGTTCAGCAGTGAGGGCGGCCAGGACGCTGCTGAGCGAGCTGTGCACTGCAGGGGCAGGGCCGGCATCAGACTCCCTTCCTCCCCCTCGCCCTCCCCTACCTGCTCCCTGCTGCCCCTCCAGCTCATACTCACCCTTCTGGGCCAGGGCCCAGAAGCTGCGCTGCAGGTGGGCATAGTCTGGGGGCGGCAGCCCTCGGGGGCCCGAGGGGTCTCGGGACTCCAGGTAGCGAGACAGGTTGGGAACTGAGCCATGGAGACGACCCACCTATGGGTGAAGGGGAAGGGTGGAAGGGCCCAGCCTTCTTCGGCGCCTCCCACCCAGCGTCTCAGGGGCCACCTCACCCGCCCGATGGTGTCGTCCTTGGCAAAGCTCTGTGTGCACCACATGCGACTGGTCCGCTTCCCCTTCTTGGGTCTCTCCGTCGTCACCGAGGTCTGGCAATTCAAGGTGGGTGAGTTTCGGTCTCAGGGTGGGGAAGACCCCCAAAGCCAAGTGAGAGGCGGACGGCCACGGAGGAGGAGGCAGAAGACGGACAGCCTGGCAGCCGCCTGGGCACAGGGGAAAGGGGTCGCTCCAAAGGGGCAGAGAGACAGGCCAGAGGCGGTCTGGATAGGGTGGGGAGGGGCAACGGGGAGACGGTGGCTCTCCAGGAAATGGCAGCATGGAACGGGGACAGGGGACCTGTCTGGGGAGGTGATGGAGATTAACACGGCAAGAGGCGAGAGAGCCCTGTCTCCGTCTGGACCTCACCTGGTGTGTGGGGATGACAGGGGCCGAGGGGATCCGGTGCAGGGACTCCAGGCTCTGAAGGAGTCTGTGTAGTTCCTGGAGCTTGCCCTGACACTCCGAGAGCTCTGTGGGAAGGATGGATGAGGAAGGCCGGAAGCCAACACTGGCCGGCTTCCCTCCCTCCTCCAAAGACTTCACCAGCAGCCTGGGGAATCCCGACACTGCTTCCCCTCTCCCGCTCACAAGCCCACAGCCGCTTCCAGCTCCCACCCTACGGTTTGGCCTCCACGGAGCACCCACACCCCAGTCTGCACTGTCCCCAGACCACAGTTCACCTCGGCTGCCTCCACACAGGGCAGCGGGCCCTCACCCTTACTCTCCCGACTCGGCCTGCATTCCCCTCTCCCGGGCCAACATCACAGCCCCCAACTCTAGGAACCTGGTGCCAGAACACACCCCTTCCCTGGCACTCCTTCTCAGGACCCCTCCCTGCGTTGGCATCCGGGGTCTTCTGTGTCATGAGTGCCAGCCCTGTGTGCTTAGAGCACAAGCCCTGCCATCTCTGTGAGCCTGAGGCTCTGGGGGTAGGGCCTGAGGAGACCTGCTCAGGCTAGAGGTAGAGGCTGGCCCCCCCACCAGATGGGGCCTCCCAGAGCAGGGACAGAGGTCACACTTTCTCCTCCTTGTGACTGCTGATGCCAGCGAGACGCAAGAGCATGGGCCCTCCCCATGGAGGTGCGGGGCCAGGGGTCCCTGTCCCTCACCATGAGAGCAGCGGTCCAGCCCATCACTGTCCCTCAGCCAGGAAGACACCTTCTCCCGAGGTCCAACCCCTGGCAGAGCCGAGGCACTACCCGCTGCCGGAGGCTGGGCACTGGGAACCTGTGGGGCGAGTCAAAGGTCAGGAAGGCGCCTCCTCTCTGAGTCTCAGCCTGAATCCTCATGTGACCGGGTCCTGCCCTGGGGCCCATCTTACCTTCTGGTGGGTGGTGCTGGGCAGCAGGCTTCGGGGCACATCCAGGTGCTGGGCTGAGCGGTGGGCACGCAGCTGGGCCACCCAGCTCTGGAACAGGTCCTGGGACTTGATCTGCAGAGGTGATGGAGAACAAGAGGGAAGCATGAAGGGAAGGATTGCTTTCTAGGGGCAAGTAGTTGGGGCTCTGGTCCCTAGGCAGGCAGGGTCTCTCCCTACAGCACACAGATGGTGCAAAGGCCCCCCTCTGTGCCTGTTCCTATAAGAACCAACAGCGCCAGTTTGCCGTTGGCTCTTGTACATGGTGGGAACTCCCCTCTGGTCAAACTCAGATGGCCCCTCGGCCCTGCCTCTCTCTCCTGTGACCCAGTGCCTCTGCCAGGCTGGGGGGGCAAGCCACCCCCTGCCTCCCACGGATGTCACCTTGAGGTGGTAGATGTTGTCTTCAGTGTCAAGGTCAATGCGCTGGGCCTTTTTGTTGATGGACATGACCGACAGTCGGACATCAATGGAGCCATGGAGCTTCCCCTTGGTGATCTGGGATGGAGAGATCAAAGAGGGAAAAGGAGATGAGTTGAGGCCACCGGGGCCACCATCCCCTTGAGGTCATGCTAGGTTCAAAGGTCAGGCAGCAGGTTCACCCTCAGGCTCAAGTGACAGCGTCAGCAGGACATGTCAGTCGTCCTCCTGAGCACGGGACAGCCTGCTATGTCACATCACAACCAGAACTCCAGGGAGTCCAGAGCGAGGAATACTTCCCACCCTCAGGAGTCTGCAGGCAGGGCTGAGGACGATGAACCTCCTGGAGAGGGCCTGGGTGTCTAGGTCTCTAGTTTCTTGTTCCTGTCTGAGCATGGTACGAGCACAGGATGAAAAAGCCCCTCAGTCTTGGGCACTAATTTGAGCCTGGCACTGTTCTGAGAGCCCTCACCAAGCAAAGACTCTACAAGTGGGTGCTCACCCTCTCTCCACCTTAGGGGTGAGGAGTGGAGACCCAGGGAAGTAACTTGCCCAAGACCCCACATCCAGAAAACGGCATACCTGGGATTCGGGCCTTGCTCTGGGGGATTCCAGAAGCCCCCTGCCTGCCCAGGGCCCCCTCCTTTCACACCCGCAGCCGAGGCCCCAGCTCACATCTTGCCGAGTTGTCGCGTAGTGAAGAATCCCATCCTCGAGCACGAAGTATCTCTGTGAGGATGCCCAGAGGGAACAGGACCAGGGTGAGGGGCACGGAGAGGAAAGGGTGTGGGGGAGAGCAACCACACGGAAGCGTCTCCTCACACACAGACAGCCTGCACTGCCCAGAGGCCCCACACATCCCTTCCGGCCCCTGCATCTGGCCCCTCCCTCTGCCCTGCCGCCCTACCTTGTGCCAGCCCTTCAGAGGCCACTTCCTCTTCTTGAGCAGGTGGCCTTCCTGCCTCTCGGGCATGATACCCTCTGGCCCCAGCCGGCCCCGAGGCTCCTCCACCACCTCCCACAGCTCGGTGGTCTGCAGTCCAGGACAAAGGGCGGGGTGGGGGGGCAGAGCGGTGAGGTGACCACATCTGTCTGTCCCCTGAGGGCCAGCCCCCCTGCCCTCTGCCACCACCCACTTCCCACCCTCAGACCTGCTGGCCACCGCTGGGCTTTGCAGACTGAGTGCTCTCGGCCAGGGAGGGAGGGTCCCACTCTTGGAAGTCCATGGGGAAGGGAGCGGCCACTCCCTGCTGTGGACGGAGAGCAAGAGGGGAGGGACGTCACCTTGTCCTGAGGGGGCCCTTGAAGCAGAGAGAGACCCTATTAGCACAGACTTGACTGTCACCTTCCCCACCCCCACCCCCTCCTGCTCCTTCTGAGTCTTGAGAGCCCCAACACATCTTCCGCTCACCTGCCAAGCCCATCCCGAGCCCATCCCCACTCTGGGCCGGTCACCCTGCCCACACCCTCCGGCTGCAGCCGCTGCCCAGAGAGGCGGAGCGCGCAGCAGGCAGGCCGGTGCCAAGAGAAAACCTCGAAAAGTCTGCTCCGCCCCACCTTAGGCACACACACATTCTCTGGCTCTAGGACACACTGGGTGCTTTCTCTGGAGGATTCCCAGAGGTGAACCGGGCAGTGAAGGAAGAGGCTCCGAAATAGAGCAGGGGGTTCAGGGACTGGGCAGGCGAGATCACACCCCAGCTCCTCTTCCTCAGGATCCCAACCCCACTACCAACACCAAAGAAGTGCAGACGCCCCTGCCATCAACCTTTTACAGAGCACCCCCGCAACCCCCGACCCCAGCTCCATACAGACCCCCCAGCTGCCTGACCAACTGGCCTCCATATCCTCTAGCTCATGGGCTCCCATGGTTCTGCCTGGAGAAACTGAGCCCTGGGACAGCCCCCATTTTCCCCTGGACCTCCCATCAATCATTCTCTTAGGATGCCCACTTCGGACCCTCGGTCCACCGCCCCCCCCCCAACCTCCTCTTTTCCATCCGTCCTTGGGGCTCCTGAGAAACACCATCCACCTGGAGAGAGCTGGGGACAGGCTGATGGAGACATATGCTGAGGTCCATACTGGTCCCTCAGCCATGCCCACAGGCGCCCTGGGCACCAGTCCTGGCCATCCTGACTCCACGGGGAGATCAATAATGCATGAGACTGTGTGTGTGAGAGATGGGGGAGGGGATTAGAGGGGCAAGGTTGGCCTGAGGCCGGGGAAACAGCTCACATCTTTTGATGGAGCTAGCAAGCACCTGAGGAGCTGCGGTCAGGAGGGACAGGGATATGGGGGCTGCGGGTGGCAGGAAGGTCAGGGCAGAGGGGTCCATGCCACGCTACGAGAGGCTGATCTGGGGGAAACTCCTGCATTTAGCCATTGGAAGTTCCCAAACTCTTCCAGTATTGGGACATCTCTGTACCCTCTTCCTGGCCCCATGGGATCCTGGCCCCTCACTGCTTGTGGGTGGAGGGGCAGACTCTATTACGGAGGGCGCAGGTCGAGGTGAGCCAGGTGGGTGCCCCCTTTCCAGCTCCATTCCCGCCCTCATCTCCGGAGCAGTGACCCGCCAGCTTCAGGTGTGAGGAAGCCCTCTCAGGGAATGTCAGCTGATGCCAGGGTAGCCCCCTTACCCCAGGGTCCATGGACGCCAGTGCTCCTTGGCCCGAGCACCACTCCGCCTCTGAGTCACGGTCTCTGAGCCACCCGCTCCCTGCTCTCAGAGCCGAGCTGTGGCGGCAGCTGCAGCAGGAACCAGGAAGGAAGGAGACGTCGGAGCCTCCCCTCTAGCCGGATCTCCTCACCTCCCCCTCCTCGGCCCCTCCTCCTGCCGAGCTCCAGGCGGCCGCTCAGCTCTGCCCCCCTGCTCCCCGGAGGACTCAGGGCTGAGTCGACGCCCCAGTGCCCAGGAGGCTTGGGAGTGAGGACAGAGTCCCCCTTGGGCACAGTTCCAGATAGATCACAGAGTACTGGGGAGTTGCTGGCCTCAAGCCAGGGGTGGTAAAGAATTTACTCATACCAGCATGGCCTTGACCTGTTAGTACCCAAGGCCATTTCCTTGTTAACCCCCGCTCCTCGTTTTACTACTGAAAATAGGTGGCTAGATTTGGAGCCAGCAGAGCTATCAGGTTGACAGGAAGGGAGGGATGCCCCGAGGGGACACAGTTGACGGTGCCAAGGGCACAGTCAGCAGGGCAGTCAAGGTTAAGAGGGCCACAGTGAGGCTGTCACTGGGGGTGATGCACCTCCAGGTCAGGACACATGGGGGCCGGAAGCAGCTAGGTGGTAGGACACCCCCACCCACCCCCAGCCTACCAAGTCTGGATCAGGAGCAGGTCCAGGGACCAGCTGGCTGGTAAAGGGCTAGCTGAGCCTCCTTCTCTGAGCACCTTTGCCCTTCTGCTAGAGTCCAGCTGCTCAATTCTAATTAAAAACTTGCTCTTGCTGAAAAGTCTGGAATTTATTCAAATGGATGTGAACTGGACTGACAGCTTTAAGTGCAGTACAGCCCCTTTCCAGAAAGAAATGGGTTTTGAATGGTGTGGCCTCAGGCACCGCCAGCAGGTGAAGGGTGCAGTCTGAGGTTCTTTGACTCCCAATATGATGTGGGCCACTTTCCCATCCAGCTGTCACCACCTGGGTCTCAGCTTACCCTTCAGGGTCTTATCTCTCTCAGACGCGTGCGCTCTGTTCCATTCAGAACCTCGGCACCGTTCCTGCCACCCCAGGAGGGCACTGTTAGCACCTGGCAGGATTCTGGAGTCAGGGGGAGCGCTGGGCAGCATTGGCCAGACTAGCTCTGGGACCCAGGAGCCTCAAGGGCCTTTTAATTCACTTTATGTTGACTGAGCATCCCTGGGCAAAGGGCACAGAGCTGGGCACGGTGGGAAGCTGATCCTGGACCAGGGAAGGAAAAGCTGCCGCAGGTCGCCACTGCCAGAGCAGCGTCTGCCCAGGACCGAGGAAGCTGCGGCACTGCTCCAAGTCCCAGAAATGATCCACGGCCACCTCCATGCATTGCCCGTGTCCACCTGAAACGGGCTCCCATCAAGGACAAGGGCGGGCTCCGAGTTAAACATCCTCCATGAGAAACTTTCAGTTCCCTGAGATCTGGATGAGGCCTCCTACTAACAACCCTCAGACCCGGTCGTTAAAACAGAATCCTGGTTTTTCCTCCCTCGCCTCTTTTGGTTTGAACCACCTGAGACACATCAGCTACTTAGCAAAGCCGGCAGCTGCCTTCAAAAGGACAAGCATGTAAGCAGTGTCATTTGTGGGAGCAGGTACAGGGAAGTGACAGACTCGGACATGGGAAGAGGCAGATGTTCTAGGAAGGGAAGTGAGTCAGAGATGACCCTGGGAATATGTCTACAGGGAGGATAAGCTTATAAACAGCAAAACACAGTTAAGTAAAATGCATTTCACTTTATCATAAAGCAGTGCTCCCAACCTTCCCATGACATGACACACCCCGAGGGTACACAATTAACACTCAAAGCACTCTTGGGACCCTAACGAGAAAGTTCTAGTGTAGAAGACCAGGGGAGCATCTTTACAGCTGCAAAGAGCCTGGTCAGTCCCTGTGCTGCCTCCTACTAACAGCATGACCTTTCACAGGCCATTTAACTTCTTTTCCCCACAGTCTTCCTCTCTGTGAAATGGGGATAATAAGTCAGACATCAGGAACTAGCACATGTAAAGTGGTTAGCAGCGAGCCTGGCACGGCAGGCTCTCAACAGATGCCATTCTCAGCAGAATTAACAACTCAGCTGAGCTATTCGGGCACGAAGGAGCCACGAGGGGCTAGGCTGGGAGGCGCGTGCAGCAAGACGCAGTGAACACAGAAGACAGGGCTTCTCTGCCTTGGACCTGGAAAACGGGAAGAGATGGCTCCTATCAGGTCCCAAGTTAGGAAAACTAGTAACAAAGATACTGATTACAAGCCTCCGTTCTAAAATGGAACTCCCCTACATCTCTGGGTGGCCATGTACTGCAAGAGATCACTGTCAGTAAAAACCATGGAACAACGCCACTCCCCAGCCTAAGTTCCCCATGTCTCCGACAGCCAACAGGGCAGAGTGTATTTATGGGCAGGCTGGGTGCAGGAGGCTGGCTACGAGTCCTGAACAGGGTTGGGAGGATCCGGCTGCGTGCTGGCTGGCAGGACGGGGTCCCCCTCACGCTGCTGTCTGGTGAACTGATCCAGCAGGGCAGTCAACTGGAGGGGGTGGTGCTGAAGCAGAGAGTGGGTCCGGGCTGTGAGCAGGGAGAGCCCTCCCACCAGCTCCCCCTGTGCCAGGGCCAGGCTAGGGAGCTTGGAGTAGTTGATGAAGCCCTGCCTGCTGAGGATGGTGTCGTCAATGCAGCCACCTAGAAGAACACAGGATCAGCGAGGCTCCCACACATGATTTTCCTCTTCAAAGACAATGGTCCCACCCTAGGAATTTGCTCTCCACCGCCCTTTTCTACCTCCCAGCCGTCCCCCAAGTCCATCTCCACCTGTGTCCCACCCCACTCCCAATGTTTCAGATCAGTCCCCTCCTCTCCTTCCTAACTTTTCCTGGAAAACCCTTCCATGTATTATGTAATCCCCACAACATCAGTGTTTCCTTCTAAACTTCCTTGAAGAACCGTGGAGTGTGTGTTGATGGAGGCGGGGGTGGAATTTGTATTATCTGTATTATATCCACAGATTCCTGCCCCACCAACAGCTAACTGTGAAATCAGCATTCTCTAAAAGAAGCACCTTCAGGGTTTCTCAGCATCAGAGGAATCCTGAACCTCAGCCCCCTTCCCTTGGCCTGTTTAAGTATCTTCATCTGTGTGGCTTTCAACACCCACTACCCCCTTACTGGACTTCCCTGGTGGCTCAAATGGTAAAGCATCCACCCGCTAATGCAGAAGACCTGGGTTCAACCCCTGGGTCTGGAAGATCCCCTGGAGGAGGAAATGGCAATCCACTCCAGTATTCTTGCCTGGGAATTCCCACAGACAGAGGAGCCTGGTGGGCTCTAGTCCATAAGGTCGCAAAACAGTCAGACACGACTTAGTGACTAAAGCAACAAAACACCCCGACTAGACTCCAGGTGTCTGAACGTCCCCTCCCCAGAGTGACAGAGGCAGGCCCCATTGTGAGAAGGGGTCCCCTCCAAGCACAGCCACAGCTTTACCCACACGAGCCCTGAAGGCGACACCAGGCTGCAGGAGCACCCACTCCACTTCAGCCCCGCCCCCAACTGGCTGCTCACCCAGCAGCGGCAGGAAAGGCACACTCTTCAAGATGCGCACCATCTCCTTGACCTTGGGTTCTTCACTGACCAGCAGCAAGTTGTGCCCCACGAAAAGGGGCAGCAGGTTTTGGTATTTGGAATCCTCCAGGAAGGGCTTTAGGATCTGGACCGGCAGAAGAGAAGGGCTTACTGGGGTTGAGTAGGGGGAAGAGTCTCCCACGTTGGTCACAGGCCATACCAGGCTGTGGGCTCAAGCTAATGAAGGTCTCCTCAACCCCTAACACAGTTCAGGCCCCGGACTAGAGAGCGGCCATGGAAGGGGGCTGGGGATGCCACTTCTTGGAAGATGCTGCGGTCTGACATGGGGGTGGAGCGGGTGGAGAACAAGGTGGGGAATGAGAGTCCGCTCCCTACCTGGTTGGGGAAGACCTTCATCAGGATCTTGTGCTTCCGCAGCCGGTGCCGCATGAGAAGCTTGTCCTCCGCGCTCATAGCCACGTTCTGGCAGACAGCTATCATTCGGTTGTCTCGGAAAACTGCGGCTATCTCCCGACGGAGGAGCCGGATGAGGCCTGTCTCCTGAGGTCAAGAAGGGAGGACCAAGGGGACATAAGCTGCCACTTCTAGTACTCCTTACTCCCTCAGGGGTGGGTGCTGGAGCGCCCAGTGACGCCCAAGTGACGATTAGGGCACAGCAGGGAGAACCGGGCCCCTGACTCTCAGAGACACATTCTCTCACTCCACCCTCTCATTTCCATTTGATAACTGCAGGTTTCAGAGCAGGATTTTTTATTATTTTACAATTTTATACTATCGTCTTTTGATGGCATCATGCGGCTTGTGGGTTCTTAGTGCCCCAACCAAGGACTGAACTCAAGCCTTTGGCAGTTAAAGCACAGAGTTCTAACCACTGGACTGCCAGGAAATCCCCTGGAACAGCATTTTTTTCCCCCTCAAATGTTAAAACTTTTTATGTTGTATTGGAGTGCAGCTGATTAACACTGTTGTGGTAGTTTCAGGTGAAGAGCGAAGAGACTCACCCATACATATATATGTAGCCACTCTTCCCCAAACCCCTCTTCCATCCAGGTTGGCACATAACATTGAACAGAGTTCCATGTGCCTAGAGCAGTGTTTTTAAAACCTGAGAACACTCAGTCCCTTTGAAATGGACAACAGTCTGACCCAGCTAATGTTATTTTGATAATAATATTGTCAAAATCACTTAATTAGCACTCTGACACTGTACTCATGTTGAATTCTTTTATCAATTTAAATACAAGATTACTCTTTTACAGTGTTGATTCAAAATTGAGGTATTTTCACAGAACAAGACTTCATTTTCTCAAGACAGTGTTTCTCAAAGTTGACAACTTGGGGAATTGAGAACCACCATCAAGTTAGCAATACTCCACTGATCTTTCTGTCCTTTTTCAAGGACCAAAAACTTTGTATTGTTCCTCTAAGAAAACCTGGAAGCTTCAAGATCGGTGGGATGTTCTCTCTTCCCCTCACATATGTGGAGAGTTTCAAGCACACATT